ATGAGTTCCTAAACCACGAGCTCTGATATCACATGTAAACTATAATTATTCGTGGAAACCATTAATCATAAATAGACATGAATCCTAAGATCTTAGAACTTCATTATTTTCACATATCTATAACGCATAAATAAAGTAGTTAAATATAAATACCTCGATCTGTGATTGCAAATATCATAGAGATCAAGTCCAACGTCGAGATTCTTTCTGCCACGAACTAAACTGCAACTCTGATCAATAGGCAAAGCGTGGAAACTGGTTTCTCTCTCTTGGCCTTTTGCACACATAAACATTATACATGTTGTTTCATTAGCATACATAATTGATGGGATATATGTACTTTTATAACGGTAGAGAGAGGACCAGTTTTCCTTTTTAGTAACCTTAAAGCCACTTGTAAGGAATAAATAGGAAAACACTTCTCCAAAAATTAATTACCATAAAGGTAATTTATAAGTTGACCAAATAATATAATATTAATCTGATACCTATTTACTTAACCACTAATTAATGAAATATATCACATGTCCAAAACATGTGGGTCACACAATTAATAAATAATCTTACAATACAAGCCACCGTGTGCTATCATAAGAATTTAAAGTTGAAACCGTTTTCTTCTTTGATTTTAATGTGTTGAGCATAAAAAGCCAACCTAATTCATTGTCGCAACATTAACTGATTTACTAGATAATTGGACACCGAGTTAATGGCAGCTTGACCAGTTAGTTCACTTGGCTAGGTGACAACCCACAATCCACGCCGTGGCTCGGAAAAGTGAAGGGGATGCGCATATTCGGGTGTTGATTATCACAGAAGTATTCAACATCATTGTCATATATATAATATGTCAAGAATCCCTATATAGGATTAGGATGTGGAAATTATACCAACTCTTGGTGATGGAATTCTCTCTCAATTTTCTATTTAATTTCTTGGGTTTCAATTTCTAAGTTATATTTGATTAGAAATTTTTTTATAGGAACCACTTGGACTCTGATCAATTGTATTCATTGTGTAACACGTGTTTGAGTAGGACTTCCCAATTGTATTTATTTTTAGGGTTAAGTGCAAAAAACCTTCTTGAACTATGGGGAAACTTGCAACTAACCCCCTGAACTTCAAAAAATGCAAGAAACCCCCTGAACTATGCAAAAAAGTTGTAAATCACCCCATCTGGCCAACTTCCAGTGAGAAATAGCCGTTAAATTTGAATGAATTTTTTTAAATGATGATATTGCCCTTACAAGCATGAAAAATAAGATTGCCCTTAATTTCCAACCATTTTACCCTAATATCTCATTCCTTATAATTACAAACAAAGAAACACGGCTTTACCCAATTATCCCCAAATCACGAACTCTGCAACTTCTAGGGTTTTTTGTTGTTCTTCTTAGTGCTCAATCAACTGTTAATTTTGTGGCTAATCACGGTCAGAAAATCGATACAAATCTTGGTAAATGTTATCATCCATCTTTAGTTTGATTTTCTTCTTTGCGATGGTGTCAGTTTTAATATCCATCTCGTTCTCGTTCTCGTTATCCTTCTTTGTGTGTGTTTATTTTTACAGAAAATGAGTTATGAATTGGTGGCGTGTTGTCGTCCTACCATAAGCTTAAGAGAGTGTGCATTTTAGGCGAGGGCCAAGTTTTACATTTATAAAAGCCACTACTACCTTCACTAAAAATATAGTTAGGGTGAGTAGGGATCGTCCCAAGGGATTGGAGTCGTACTAGCTTGTGGAATCACAATTAGGGTTAGTAGGTCGAGTGATCAAACAAATGGTTGGTTGGTTGATTAAACTAGAGAGCAAATTAAACTAAATAATTGAATGTAACAAAGAGTAAGTAAGAGAGAGAGAGTTCTTGGGGTTTAGAGGTCACCACCAAACAATGCTTTTTTACACCCTTAACTAGTGACTAATGAGGGAAATGTGTATTGCAATATTGATGTGTGTGTGTGTTTGGTTGATTCAATTAGTAAAGGTGACCAATTAAGCATACATTGTCTAATTAACATGTTAAAAGCATAATATATCTAGCAATTAAGTATATATTGTCTAAATAGCATGTGAAAAGCACAATATATCTAGCAAGTCATTAATCTTTTCATTAAGCTCATAAGCCAAAAACACCACAAGGTTAGAGACATATGCTACTTGCATTCAAAAGTATGGAACATCAAACAACAAGCATGGATTGTCCTTTCATCTAACAACTATGCTACCACTACACTACAATTAAGCTAATGACATGAAATTAAACTAATTAAGCTAAGGGAGAGGTACAATCCATCAAGAAATGAGCATGGACCATCTAAAAAATCACAAGAGCATTCTTTTAAGCACAATGTTTTGACAATCTCTAGATCATAGCATTATTACACATAGACATGCATCAATAACACAAGAAATAGAGACAAACACATGAACATCTATTCTAGCATACATAGACATATGGATAGAATGGAATGATTAATTGGAAGCATTAAACCACATAAATCATTGAATAAACAAGATCTATACATATATAAGTGCCAAAACATGTAATACAACACTAATCCCTCAATAATACACAAAATCAAGATGTAGAAAGCATGCTTGGGGCTAACTCTAGCCCCAAGAGGATGTCTAGCCACTCATGGTAGTGTTTCTCCAACCCTCAAGGGGTAACTCCATGGTAGAGATTTGTTCCTTGGTTGATGAAGAGTCTCCAATGGTGTCTCTAGCCTCCTCCTCATCCTCCTCTAAGCTTGCTCTCCAAGAGTTCTTACAAGGTATGAGATGATATGATATGATATGAGATCCTCCCATGTAAAAAGTAGTCCTTATCCTTATATAGGTAGGTCAAATGACACCCAAAATGAGCTGGGGTCGTGCACAAAATATTCCCCAATGATTGGATAAAGGACAACTTTTAATGAGCTGGAAATTTAACTTTTTCGCACTGGAGGAAGTTCGATCGATTGAACCTTGAACTTGGATCGATTGAACATGGCTAAGATCTATCGAACTTAGGCTGGATCGATCCTCAATGATGGCGCTTTTTGGATAAAGACAAATCTGAGATATTTTGAAGATATTTTTAGGAAAAGGACAAAAGTGGTTGGTAGGGTGGTACAACTAGATAAGATCAATCATTTGGATAAGGATAAGGCAGTTCGATCGATCGAAGAATGATGTTGGATCGATTGAACTTTTGAGGTCTCTGAAAATATCATCATGGCTTTGATCCATCTTGAAGTGCTGAGATCGATCATGTTGGATCGATCGAACCTTGATCTGAGATTGATTGAAGATGTTGATTTCCACTTTTTTCTGCATTTTGCTTCCACTTGGCTCCTTTCTTTGATTCATCCCAGAATTGATTCATTTCTGCTCTTATTTGGCTGAATTAGCTTATTTTCGGGATAAGTGCCTGAAAATGAAAATAATACGAAATCAATCTAAAACGGTAAAGTAAGATAGATAAAGGTACTAAAATGCCTAAACTTAAGGGGTTTAAATACGCACTTTTCAACGCTCATCATGAATCATCTGTAAGACATGGGTTTTGTGGTGTGGCGTGAAGAGGACTTTTCAGGAATAGGAAATGTTTTTGTGATAAAAGGGCAGCTGTGTTGATCTCAGAGTCAGACGACAATCCTGGGAAGTTGTTTTTCAATTGCAAGGATAGGGTTTGTAGTTTTTTTCGAATGGTGGACTCCTTCAGCTGGTTTCAGTGAAGCTACAGAAGAGGAACCTGAAGCTCAATGAGGTCATATTATGCCCATCAGTGATTTCATTGCAATTGTTAAGTCAATGTTAGTTAGAAGCATGTTTTTATTTGGGATGTCAGTTGTGGTGCTGTTTGTTTGCCTTTTTGTGAAGTGAATTTCGTTTTGGGGGTTTCAGTTGTAGTGCTCTGGTTATATCCATCTCCTTGTGTTGTTAGGATTTAGTAGTATGTTTTGGGAGTTGAAAAATCTAATTGTATGTTGAATTTTCTTATTGTATGTTGTTGTATGAATCAAAATCTTGTAGAAGTATGAGATGAATGAAAATTTAATCTGTTTTGTTGAAGGTGATGTTGTATGAATTAGAATAAACATCTGTGTGTACAATTTGCAAGTTATATTTATTATGCAATGAGACAAAAATTAGGTGATTTTAGTTTGCTGAATGATAGTGCAGCACAAGTTATGATAGTGATTGGAAGTGTAAAGTTTTGGGGGTTGAATTTTGTGATTGGAATTGTAAGTTATTGGAACTGCACCTGCTATACAGTTCAAGTAAAAATCAAAGTGACCTGCACCTATTATACACTTCAAGCAAAAATGTGATTGGAATTGCAAGTTATTGGCACTGCACCTGCTATACAGTTCAAGTAAAAATCAAAGTGACCTGCACTTGTTATTCACTTTAAGCAAAAATGTGATTGGAATTGCAAGTTTTTGGCACTGCACCTACTATACAGTTCAAGTAAAAATCAAAGTGATTTGCACCTGTTATACACTTCAAGCAAAAATGGAAGTGCAAGGATTTGGCATTGAGCTGTAAGTGTCAAAGTGACATACTCAGTGTTATAGGTAACATGTGCACTAAAAAACCTATCAACCATTCAAAAGTGAACAGTAATTTAGTTGATCTAAGTCACTGCAATTCACTGAATATGCAATGCACTTTGCGATCCGACCTTCACCTGTTATATAGTTCAAGCAAACTAAATACAGTAGCTAAAACACTAATAATAAAATGATATAAGATGGCATACATTCATAATAAAGTGTTCATACACAAACTGATAATAAACAAAAAGGCTGACAATAAACAACTTAGTTTTGTACTAGTGTTTCACATTATCACAGACTGTCAATAAAGAAAAAGCTATTATAATATAACATGTCTTCACTCTATTCACTTGAACAATCACCAAAAAATGGGAGTCTTCATGTCAGCAATAATCATAAATATAACAAAACATTCATCAACAAGATCATCGTCAAGTTTGTGGCCATTTTCACTACCAGCATGCATACTCATTTTCCATCATTGACCTGTCAATGAAACAAATAAATGACAATAAATCAAGTTAATTAGTAGATTATATGATCCTCAAAGACTTAAGATTTAATTAACAGATTATAGGACTACTGTTATTATACCTAGAAGATGATGCTTGGGTTTGTGACAATTGAGAAAATGGTATGTTTTGAACCTGAAATGAAAAGTGGTAAAACAATAAGTGAGCTTGAATATGATATACAATTTTAAAGCTGTGAATATGGTACTTTTTACTAAAATTGAAGTAAAATTGAACAATAACCATACCTCTTGATTTGCAATTCGAGCTGGAATATCAACTCCTCTGGCTCTACCTCTACCACCCCTTCTTCCTCTTGCTCTTGCAGGCATCCCATCAGGTCCTCTTGCTCTCCCTCTTCCAACACTTGGTGGTCTACCACCCCTTCTTGGTGGAGGTATGTTAATGACCAATGGCTCAGGTATTTTGCAAGTCCTTGAGTTATAACCATTTTCCTTGTACTTGGAACATTTCAAACTTTCCTTTGATCTATTAAGTTTGGTAGAACCTTTGGGATCATCATTCTTCTTGTTCCTAGCCTTCTTTGGCCTACCAATGGGTTTCTTATAGTGTGGTGGAAGTAATGTGTCAATGCTGTCAGTTTTCATTAACATTCCCATTGGAATGGGAAGGATCATACCACCATAACACTTCATATAGGTTTCTCTGTAATAAAATGGGTGAACATATGACTTTGGAGTGTCCTTTTTAGTAAATATACAAGCCATTGCATGCCTACAAGGAATACCAGTTAAGTTCCAAACTCTGCAGCTGCAGGTATGTCTTTCAAGGTCAATAGCCTCACTGATTCCATAGCATTGAACTTCATACTTGTCATCACCAGCATAGTGAACCTTATATATGGAAGCTTGTTGTTTCACTTTGTTGAATGCCTTTTGGATATCTGGACAAAACAACCCAAACTGTGTATGCATCCACTCCCTCTTACACTGAAACCTTAACATTAAATGCCTTCTAATCCACTCAAGCATGTATATGATCGGCTTATCTCTTACTTTAAGGATTACAGCATTCCAACTCTCACAAATGTTATTAATAAGCATATTATTTTTTGAAGTGTCAGTGAAGGTTGACTTTGACCACAAATGAATTGGCACATTTGTCAACCAATCATGAGCTTCAACATTTAACTCTCTAATTTTTCTCATATGTTGTTGGAAATCTGCTTCAGTGTATGCCCTTGCAGCCTCCCATAATTGAATTTTCAATTGTTGGCCTTTGAATCTGAGCTTGAAATTCTTATAAAGATGCCTCACACAAAACCTGTGATCTGATCCCTCCATTGTGCTCTCAAAGGTCTCTACTAAACCCTGTAAATAGGACATCAAACTGTCAATAAAAATTGTAATTAAGTGTGTGCAGGTAAGTGTGTGACTGCAGGTGAGTGTGTGTATAATTAAGTGTGTGCAGGTAAGTATGTGCTGCAGGTGAGTGTGTGCAGGTAAGTGTGTGACTGCAGGTGAGTGTGTATGCAAGCGAGTGTGTGTGTAGAAGTGAGTGTGTGCAGGTGAGTGTGTGTGTGTGTGTGTGCAGGTGAGTGTGTGTTGCAGGTGAGTGTGTGTACAAGTGAGTGAATGTGTGTGTACAAGTGAGTGTGTGTGTGCAGGTAAGTGTGTGTTGTAGGTGAGTGTGTGTGCAAGTGAGTGTGTGACAGCAATGTGTGTGTATAATTAAGTGTGTGTTGCAGGTGAGTGTGTGCATAAATAAGTGTGTGCAGGTAAGTGTGTGTTGCAGGTGAGTGTGTGTGCAAGTGAGTGTGTGACAGCAATGTGTGTGTATAATTAAGTGTGTGTTGTAGGTGAGTGTGTGACTGTAGGTAAGTGTGTGCATAAATAAGTGTGTGCAGGTAAGTGTGTGTTACAGGTGAGTGTGTGTGCAAGTGAGTGTGTGACAGCAATGTGTGTGTATAATTAAGTGTGTGTTGCAGGTGAGTGTGTGACTGCAAGTGAGTGTGTGCATAAATAAGTGTGTGCAGGTAAGTGTGTGTTGCAGGTGAGTGTGTGTGTAAGTGAGTGTGTGACAGCAATGTGTGTGTATAATTAAGTGTGTGCAGGTAAGTGTGTGTTGCAGGTAAGTGTGTGACTGCAGGTGAGTGTGTGTATAAATAAGTGTGTGCAGGTAAGTGTGTGTTGCAAGTGAGTGTGTGTGCAAGTGAGTGTGTGTATGAAGTGAGTGTGTACAGCTAAGTGTGTACAAGTGAGTGTGTACAAGTGAGTATGTGTGGAAGGAAGTGTGTGACAACACAGTAAAATACATTGAACCTTCTATCTATCAGAGATGAAGGTTATATCATTGTATGGCCCTATAACATCCATCAACTCTCTTATAAACCATTCCCAAGAATCTCTTGTCTCAAACTCTACCACTGCAATTGTAACTGGGAACATTTGACCATTCCAATCCATAGACACTACACTCAGTAGATAACCACCATAAGGACCCTTTAGGAAACATCTATCTACACCAATTAGTGGCATACAACCTTGTTTAAAACCAACTATCATTGCAGCATAACAAATAAAGACTCTTTGAAACTTTCTAACACTTTCATCAACAGTGGGCTCAGTTTGTATTTTAACTACACTGCCATGGTTAGTTCTCAATATCAAGCTACAGTAATCCCTCATTTTACCACACTGCTCAGCATCATTCCCTTCAATCAATTCTAATGCCTTTCTTTCTGCCCTATAAATTTTATGTGTGGATACATCAATGTTCATTTCAGATGCAATTGTGCTCTTAAGTGTTCCCACAAGTATCTTAGGGTTCAATCTCACTTGTTCACAATATTTGTTTGCTAAGAAGGTTGATGAGGCCTACCCATTTGTATAAAACCATAAATAGTTAGTATGTTCTAGCACATAGGTCTTAATAATCAAGCAATCTTCATTTTCAGGTTTGCTTGCATGTATCCTCCAACCACGTTCAGCCTTGCACACTGCAGTTATCCTATCTCCATCATTCCTTGTGAACATTATATCAAACTTGTTTTTCAATGCACTTTCCCTAAGTGCCAACCTAAAATCAGCAGCTAACCCAAATTTCATGCCCAATTCCAATTCTTTTTCTCCAAAATCCCTTGAAATAATGTAATCCTGGTGCATATAAGCACTATCAACACATTCATCATCAGATTCACATAGACTTATCAACTCATCATTAGGACCATACTCACTTGACACAGGAGTAATGAGTTGGGTATCACTCATTAGATAATCCCACCCTAAATCAGCATTTGAGTTGACCTCATTCTCTGCCCCATTCAACAAAGGTGCAACAATGTATGATTTCACAACAGACATTTTTCCATGAGCTTCATGGCCATAAAACATCCTAAACACATCTAAATCACACTTCACTTCTCTAAATTGTTGCCACTCATAAGGTACTTTGTAGAACACTTCACTGATCACCCCATACCCCAATCCAGTTGCCATCTTTTGAACCTCAAGATATGACATTATGTCAGGGTCTATCTTTTCAAATTTAGTTATATTTCCTCTTAAGTATGTCATAGGGGGTGATTTCTCAAATATACCCCCATGATGAAGTTCAATGGTAAACATATCATCCATCTACAACAACAAGTGGGTACGTTAACCTTAATATAAGCAATGACAGAGACAACCTTAATCAAAATAGCATAGACACTTCATCAATTTAGTTATATTTCCTCTTAAGTATGTCATAAGGGGTGATTTCTCAAATACAACCCCGATGAAGTTCAATGGTAAACATATCATCCATCTACAACAACAAGTGGGTACAGACACCTTAATATAGATAATGACAGAGACAACCTTAATCAAAATAGTATAGACGCTTCATTCAATAAGTGTACAAACAATAAAGACAATGCAATCATTAAATAACATACCCAATTAAATAATTTAAGCACATGATCACTATGTATGTCAGTATGCAATTGGGGTACAATGAAATAACATATATTGCATATTTAGTAACACAAAGGGACCACTATAATATAGACAATGCAATCAATAATGGTGGGTCAAAATTAAATACAAAAACGACTACTACAAAGCATATCAGGTCATTTGATAAACATAGAGGTACCACCATTTCACATAAAGTCATGAAACAAAGACATTATATACTATTTTATGGAGACAATAGAAAGAAACAATAACTACAAACAAGGTTTTTAGACAGGGACTAGTCGACATGAAGAAGAAAAAAAACACTGCAAAGACATTGTACCTCGAACCTTTCAAATAAAATAAAAATCAACTATAACATCAGAGTTCTAAAAAGGCAAAACTTTTCTTCTAAAATGTCACAGCAACATCAACAAAATTGACATAAGAAAAATTTTTCTTGTAAAGTGTCACAACAACATCATCTACAAAGTTTTACTCCTATCCTTAAAAATATTCAACTAAGACTTTATACAAAGCAACAAAAACGCATGAACAAAGCAAGAAACAGACATAACTGAGCTTCGTCATTATATAACAAAATTGATATACACATATATAAGAAAAATCAGTTAATTAGAGTAAGAGAGTTACTGAATGCGAGTCCCACACCTTAAGTCAAACGTTTTTTAGGGTTTTATGTTGATTAGGTTTGCAAACAAGGCTGATTTGCAGACAAGGCCGGACGATGGCTTCCTTTTCTCCTTTCTGTCTTTGCCGCGAATAAAGAAAGGTGGGTTAGGTTAGGTTTGGCTGATGTGTGGGTGATGTAAGCTAGAGATAAGAATCCTTATCTTGTTGTGCTGTCAAAATGCTATTAGTTGGTTAGATTTTCTGTGCCACGTCAATAAGTGAAATTGGTATTCACACCAAACTGCATCGTTTTATTAAAAGGGTAACTTGATCTTTTTTCTTTTCCGATCGCCTGAGTGGTTAAATTGCAAGAAAATGAAAGTTCAAGGGGGTTTCTTGTAGTTCCAGGGGGTTAATTGCAAAACCCCCATAGTTGAGGGGGGTTTTTTGCACTTAACCCTTTATTTTTATATGCTTGAATAGTTGCATGAGATGTCTACAAGTTAGATAAGAATCACCATCAATAATATTAATAGTATTTTGTACAATGGAGTCATGTGTCGATAATGTTTACGTAACATAGTACACACTACTCATAACTCTAAATTCTCTTAATCAACATGTTTGGAAATTTAATCATGTTATGTTTCTGTATAGAAATGGCAGATGCCTGATGTTAATAATAATCTTGCAAGACATATACTTCTTCCTGTTTATTGTTGGTATAAAGACTAGTGTTGTTAGTCACAATCCGACTCTAGACCAAATGTGTCCCATTGGAGCTTTGTTTGCCTTTACTTTCCAAAAAGCCTACCTAATCAAATAGCAATGAGATTTTAGATACTAGTTCCTATGGACTGGAAGCTTAAAATTTGGGAAATTTTGCATTTATCCCTATTGATGTTTGCCAAAATAATAGTCCTCATTTGTTTTAGTAATTTTCTAGTGTATTGAATAGTTTAATCTGACTTTAAAGGGCAAGTGAATTTACTATATTTGCTCACTTGTTTTATTTATATTTTAACTGTTAAATGACTAATTAAAGAGAGATCTTTCTATTTTGTTCCAGACAAAAACAAAATACAAAACATACATTGTCTCTTCAAATCACTAATTACTATAGATTATTTGCAAAATTAATAATAATTATACTTCCCACAACTAATTTTAATCCTTTGGAGAATTATTATTGTAAATGCTATGATTCGCCACATTATCATTCTTTCAGGGAAATCTTGTTTCATATTGTTACTATTAGAAAATCTATCACACTCACACACGTTGTTTATCTCCTAAATTCTCTTCATATGAGTGATTATTCTTAGGTTCTAACGAACATGACTTTGCTGCTAGTATTTCTTATAGTAGTTTAGCAGAACTCAGAAATTACTATCTTATATATAATTTAGTATGTAAAAGGTTTTGTGCATATTCTTGTGTTGTATATATTCATTTTCTAGTCATGATGTCAATTCAGTTAAGGTTATGAACTTTAATTTCTCTTATATGTTAAATTTTCATTTATTATAATGTGCGCTTAATGAATTTATAAAAAAATGTAGGGTAATTCAAATCAAATGGGCAAGAAGAGTTGTTAAAGTTGAAGTTGAAGCTGAAGATGGGGTTGTGGCTGTGCTTTCAGCATTTCCTTCGCCTTGGATGGATTCTTTTTGAAAAACTTGTACTACATCTATAAAAAATTCTTAATTCTTTTTTTGTCACATTTAGTAGATCTAGACAATTTGGATGGTATTTTCATATTGGCAGGTTAA